TCAATGGGGGTGGGGGGAAGGGAACATCAGTATTACTTTCAGCAATAAAACTAAATGAAAAGAAAGGTAAGAAAAAGAATAAAAGATTTAGTAATAAATTTAACCATGGAGGTAAAAGACTTGTACACTGAGAACTAGAAAACATTGTGAAAGGAATTATAGAAGACACTAATTAGTGAAAAGTCATCTCATGTTTATAGATTGGAAGAATTACTATTTTAAAAATGTTCACACTACCCAATGAGAACTATAGATTCAATGCAATTCCAATCCATCATAACAATGGTTTTTTTAAATAGAAGAAGAAAACTCATTCGAAAATTCATGGGAAATCTTAAGGAACCCTAATGGGCAAAACAATCTTCAAAAAGTTGGAGGGCTCACATGTCCTGATTTCAAAATGTACTACAAAGCTACAGTAATTAAAATGGTGTGGTCCTGATATAAGACAGACTTAGACATCGACTGGAATAGATTAGAGAGCCCAGAAATACAGTAACCCCTTGATATATATGGTAAAATTATCTTTGACAATGTGCCAAGCACACTGTCAGGAAAGATTGTCTCTTCAATATATGGTATTGGGAAAACTGTATATCCACATTTAAAAGAATGAAGTTTGCCTCTTGTTTTACTAGTAAACTATCATAAATATCAACTCAAAAGGGATTAAAGACTTAAACATAAAAGTTGAAACTGAAAAACTTCTAGAAGAAAACATAGGAGAAAAGCCTTTTGACATTGGTCTTGGCAATGATCTATTGAATTTGATACCAAAAGCAAAGGCAACAAAAGCAGAAAAAGAGAAATGGAATTACATCAAATTAAAAAGCTTCTGCATAGCAAAGAAGACAAAAAAATGAAAAGGCAACCTATGGAATGGGAGAAAACATTTGCAAACCATACACCGGATAAAGGATTAATATCCAAAATATAGCTCTGGCTGGTGTGGCTCAGTTGGTTGAGCATCGTCCCATGCACTGAAAGGTCACCAGTTCTATTCCCAGTCAGGTCACTTGTCCAGGTTGTGGATTCAATCCCCATTTGGGGTGTGAACAGGAGGCAACAGATGATATCTCTCTCTTACATTAGTGTTTTTTCTCTCTCTCTCATTCTCTCTTCCCGACGCTCTATCCCCTGAGCCAAACCGGTCAGGGCTGATATCTCTCTCTTACATTAGTATTTTCTCTCTCTCTCTCTCTCTCATTCTCTCTTCCTCTCTCTCTGTTTTAAAAAAAACACACCAAAATATTTGAGAAATTCCCAAAACTCAATAGTAAAAAACCAAATAACCCAAATTTAAAATGGGCAAAGGATCTGAATAGACATTCATTCAAAGAAGCCATGTAAATGGCCAACAAGTATATGAAAAGGTGCTCAACATCACTACTCATTAGGGTAATGCAAATCAAACCCACAGCGAGATACCCTCTCACACCTGTTAGGATGGCTATACAAAAACATAAATAAAAAATAACAAGCATTGGTGAGGATGTGGAGGAAAGGGAACTCCTGTATACTGTTGGTGGGAATGTAAATTGGTACAGCTGCTGTGGAAAACAGTATGAAGTTTCCTTAAAAAATTAAAGAATAGAATTTTCATATGGTCCAGGAATCCCACTTCTGTCAGTTCAGGAGAATGTAATTTAATAACAACAGCAACAACAATAGCTAACATTTATGGAGCACTTTCATGAGCTAAGCACTATGCTAAAGACTTCAGGTACATTATCTAATTTAATTCTCACACAATTTTATAACACATTCATTCATTTAGTTAAAATATTTGTTGAACATTTTCTATGTGCTAGTCAGGGGTCCTCAAACTACGGCCCACGGGCCACGTGCGGCCCGCCGAAAACAATTATCCGGCCCTCCAGGTGTTTTTGCCGCCGCTGCCTGTCCTGCTTAGCAGCCGACTCATCCCGGGCCCGCAGTGCGCATGTGTGGAATGTCTGAGGGACAGTGAACTGGCCCCCTGTTTAAAAAGTTTGAGGACCTCTGTGCTAGATACTGTGTTAGGTGCTAGGGAAACAGTGATAAATAAAATTATTATGGTCCCATTCCTGGAAAGTTTATGGTATAGTAGGAGAAACTCACATTAAACCAATAAAAATAAATATGTTTTGACATATGATAAATGACATGGAAGTGTGACAGAAAAATGGGGAGAGCACCGGATAGAGAGGTCTGAGAAGGTCTCTTTTAGAAGGTGACATATGTAAACTGAGACCTAAAGAATGAGGAGGAGCTGAGCAGGCAGTGGTAGGGCCTTAAGGCAGATGTGAATAATTCTACCTTAAAGAACTCTTTCCTTAATGGAGGAGCTGAAAGAAGATCAGGGAGGATAAACAGAGATAGCGGTGGGAGAGTGATAATAGCTGAGGCTGGAGGCCGGCCAGAGACCATCCAGGGTCATGCAGATGCAATTCCATTCTGAGTGCATGGAGAAATATTGCAGAGTTTTAAGCAGACAAGTGAGAGATCTGATTTATATTAAAAACACTGCTCTGGCTGTCTTTTGAAAAATGGAGTAGAGGGAGGTAAGAGCAAAACTGGGGAGAGTTGTTCAGTTTATTGTACTATTTCAGATTAGAGATGATAATGATTAGATATAGGATGATGGTTGAAGATTTGTAAAGACGTGGATAAGGTTCAGATATATATATTTGAAGGTAGAGTCCAAAGGTGATAGAGAAGCTGAAGTCAAAGATAACTCAGGTTCCTGGTTTGAGTAATAGGGCTGATGTATTACCACCCTCCTTTTTGTCTAGGAGACCAAAGCTCCAAGAGCTTAGGTAGCATGTTCCAGGAGATATGTCTAGTACATGATTTGAGCACGAGTTTATCCAATTCCAAAGACAACACACATAATCTACACATTGTATTGTCTCCCAACGTATCCTCTCCCAAAGTAATCATACTCATTTGGCTCACACAGACAAAGCGATACTCATGTGTCACAATTCTGCTGCTTTCTAAAAGGAGAGAAGTGGTTGTCTTCTGAATTAGAGTCTCTCCATCAACCATAACTTCATTTGCTTAGTTACCAAAGGGAAAGTCAATATCCAGGCATGTTATCTGAAGCATGTTTTGTCCTGGAGCAGATTAGAAAATGTTATTTGGATCACGGGCTGAAAATGATGTTATTCCTTAACCCACTGTACTCCGTGTCTGTAGATGCAAGCGGCGGAACTTCCCCACACGCCACGTGTGTCTATTAAAAACAAATGGTTTCCCTAAGTGGCAGCCCTGATCAACTTTAAAATCATTTTTTTGTGAGAATTTTCAGCTGAAAATATTCAAGAACACCAAATTGTAATATATTTGTTATTATTATTATTATTTTAATATATTTTTTTATTGTCTAAAGTTTTACATATGTCTTCCTTTTCCCCAATTGACCCCCACACCCCAGCCAGTCCCGCCCTGGGCAAGCCCCCACCGCCTCAGTGTCTGTGTCCATTGGTTATGCTAATATGCATCAATATATTTATCTTTATAATATTAATTGCAAATTGATTTTTAAAAAATATATTTTATTGATTTTTTTACAGTGAGGAAGAGAGAGGGATAGAGAGTTAGAAACATCGATGAGAGAGAAACATTGATCAGCTGCCTCCTGCACACCTCCTACTGGGGATATGCCCGCAACCAATGTACATGCCCCTGACCGGAATCGAACCTGGGACCTTTCAGTCTGCAGGCCGATGCTCTATCCACTGAGCCAAACCAGTTAGGGTGCAAATTGATTTTTTAAATTAAATTCAAAATATCATGGCAGGTAGGAATGGTTTCCACTTTGGAGGTGTGGCAGTTAATTGGTGTTTGACCTAGGTAAGCAGGTTCAAGTCTGAAGGACTGGAAGTGATAATCCTAGATATTCACATTCTGTTTCCAGGCAGAAATCATGCTCTGTTGTCTCCCATGGGATCAGGAGAAGATGTGTCATTCCTGAATTCCTTTGAGACATTTCAGCAACTTAGACGACGTTGTCAAGAACAGTTGCCCTGGAAGGAATGGGCTTATTTTAATGGGAAAAAGAGAAAAATGAAGTAGGTTAATAAGGACCAGAGCCCCAGGCCAGACCCCATGGCTACACAGGAGGTCTGGAGAGCACTAGAAGGCAGACAAGAATATTGATAGATAGCATAAGGCAGAATTAAAACACAGGTAGGCCGAAAACTCAGATATGCATGGTGATCCTATTACAACAAAACCTTTTGCATATGTTTTGGTGATGTCCTGTGATTTTCTGTATTCTGCTGGCATTATCCTATCTAATAAAAGACAAAAGGGTAATTAACCGTACCTCCACTATGTTTCCCATTGGCTAATCAGCGAGATATGCAAATTAACTGCCAACAAAGATGGCGGCCAGCAGCCACGCAGCTGAAGCAAGCAGGAGGCTTGCTTGCTCCAGTGATGGAGGAAGCCAAGGTTCCCTGCCTGCTGCGGCCCGGGTCTGAGCTCCGAAAGCAACAGCTCCAAAAGCAACAAAGTTTCAATTATAGAAGCTAAACAAACCCCACATATCTGCTTTCAGCCAGCTGTGGCCTCAGAGCTGGGAGCACCAGTGACTGCAACAGAGTTTCAATCATAGAAGCTAAATAAATCCCAGAATAAAGAAAAAAAGGAGAGGCTGGGAGCTTCAATCGCAGGCCAGCCTGAAAACGGCCCTCAGCCCCTCACCCAGACTGGCCAGGCACCCCAGTGGTGACCCCCACCCTGAAGGGGGTGTGACTAGCTGCAGACAGCCATCAGCCCCTCACCCAGGCAGGCCAGGCACCCAAGCGGGACCCCCAGCCTGATCCGGGACACCTTTCAGGGCAAACCAGCCGGCCCCCACCCGTGCACCAGGCCTCTATCCTATATAGTAAAAGGATAATATGTAAACTGACCCTAACAGTAGAAAGACTGGGAATGACTGGTCACTCTGACACACACTGACCACCAGGGGGCAGACGCTCAATGCAGGAGCTGCCCTCTGGTGGTCAGTGCACTCCCACGGGGGGAGCTCTGCTCAGCCAAAAGCCAGGCTGATGGCTGCCAGTACAGCGGTGGTGGTGGGAGCCTCTCCTGCCTCCTCAGCAGCGCTAAGGATGTCCGACTGCAGCTTAGGTCTGCTCCTTGCTGGCAAGTGGACATCCCCTGAGGGCTGCCGGGCTGCCAGGGGGATGTCTGATTGCCAGCTTAGGCCCAATCACCCGGGGAGCAGGCCTAAGCCAGCAGGTGGTCATCCCCCGAGGGGTCCCAGACTGCGAGAGGGCACAGGCCGGGCTGAGGGAGACCCCCCCCCAGTGCACAAATTTTTGTGCACCGGGCCTCTAGTTCATCTATAAAATGACTCCTTAACTTTTTTAAAAAAATTTTTTTTAATTGAATTCAGAGAAGAAGGGAGAGGGAGAGATAGAAACATCAATGAGAATCATTGATTGGTTGCCTCTTGCACACCCCCTACTGGGGATTGAGCCCACAACCAGGGCATGTGCCTTTGACTGAAATTGAACCTGGGACACTTCAGTCTGCAGGCCAATGCTCTATCCACTGAGCCAAACCAGCTAGGGCAAAAATGACTCCTTAACTTTTACTTTCTTTGCAAAGTCATAGGTCTGGTGAGAGAGGTAAGAATGTGGGGCAATCATGGGCTTACCTGTTTGGGTTGACAAATTGTGGAGTAAATTGTAGAGGAATCATTTTTCATAGGTATTGGGATTTCCGTTTTCTATAAAAAGGAATCATACTCATTGGGCTCACACAGAAAAAGCGATACTCATTCAAAGATATATTCCCAGAGAAAGGAAATGTGACAAAGTTCTAGGGAGTGCTTAGCCAGGAGCTAGAGACCAAACACCACCAGCTCTCAAACCAGTGAGTTTAGTGGCATTTTCTGAACCCCAAACAGAAGCACACACCAGTGGGATCAAGAACCAAAGACAGAAGGGTGACTTATTTGCAAGTGTGAAGAAGAGGAAACATTCTTGTCCTGAACCCAACTCTACTGTCTTTTGTCTCAGGTCTTTACTGGCTGTATCTGGACGGTGCTGCCTGCTCTATTTTGTCCCTGTGGTTCTAACTGCCTGGCAATTGGGTTCTCCTTAAGCAGGGGGAACCGGTAGGAGAAACATCTGGCATTAAGAGTGGCTCTGCTTGGAATACAAAATATAGCAATAACAGAAGTCCACTGTGTTCAGAGGTTTTGATATTTAAAATTAATTAAGAAATATTCAGGGTGTTTTCAAGACCTCCAAAACTCTCCAAAGTACAATTTTACACTAAAGAAAAAGTTAAATTTGCAGATTAGTTTCTTGGTTTGTTGAGAGTGATTCATCTTGTCTTCAAGAGGAAATGGGAAGAACAATAGAAATATCTGAACAGGCCCTAGCCGGTTTGGCTCACTGGATAGAATGTCAGCCTGCAGACCTAAGGGTCCCGGGTTCGATTCCAGTCAAGGGCATGTGCCTCGGTTGCAGGCTCCTCCTGGCCCAGGCCCTGGTCAGGGCTCGTGCAGGAGGCAAGCAATTGATGTTTTTCTCTCACATCGATATTTCTCTCTGTCTTTCCCTCTCTCTTCCACTCCCTCTAAAAATCAATGCAAAAATATCCTCGAGTGAGGATTAAGGAAAAAAACAATAGCAACAAGAAATATCTGAACAAGTAAGAGTTTCCCTTCATGTTCCCTTTCTTCAAGGAGCTGGCTTTACAAATACCTGTGAGGGGCTGGATGAGAGGATCAAAGATTTCTAGCGAGACTATTGCTTCTGTCAGTTGGAGAATGATGAGTCTCTGGATTTGTTTTCAGATGACATGGAAACTGGCCTGCCAGGATGTATGTGCTCTTTAGAAATGTACCTCTTGCAGGTGGTGGGGAATTGTTGATGCCTGACCAAGGCCATCCGGTTCTGTTGCTAGAGGGGTGGGGAGGATTGAGGGCTACTCATGTCTTTACTGCCCTCTACTGTGGAGGGGGTGCACATTCTTGTCTTGTCTCTTGAAAGACTGCTTCTGAGCACTGCTATTTTCCCTGCTACTGATCTGTCTCCTTTGGAAACTCTCAAACTTAATGGAACTTTGATCCACTCAGCAAATATTTACTGAGCATCATGCTAAGACATAGGGGAAGGGAGAGGAAGACGTAATTTTTACTTTTAGGCAGCTTGTAATTAAGCTGAAGGATACCAGACTTCCTGATGCATTAAGCAGTTAGAGAGCAGTGTCGCTACGGGTGTGAGTAAACATTCCATTGGGGTGAGAGCGGTTGGGGCTGGAATGGGCCTGCGTAGAACTTTGCAGCTCTCGGTAGCCTTCTCCTCTCCTCAATGGTGTACATCGTTTGGATTAGTCAGATGACTGTGGTGACAAGTTTTTGAATCATGACTATAACAATAACGCTCACGATGGAGTATAAGGCTGAAAGGACTCACCATGTTTGGATGAGTGACCTGAGCGTACACAGTGTTCTCTGGACTGGCTGGCTCATTCCCTGAGTCGTCCCTCGGGGTCTCTGCTGCAAACAGAGAGAGGCACAGTCAGCTGCAGAAGCATTCTCCCAGGACCTTGCCTACCCCGGGACACTTTCTGGCCCTGAAGATGCAGTTGTTCAAGGCATTGCCATTCCTTAAGGTTCATTCATTTTTGACAGTCTTTGAAATTCTGGGTTGAACCAGAAACTCAATCATAGGATCTATTTTTGCCCTCATCTCTTGAGGGCACATAGTCTTGAGGTACCCTAAAGTTTCAGCCTCCCGTTGAATTCACATGTGAGCAAGGAAGCTCCTAGGACCAAATAGTACCACGTACTTATGAGCTAGAGATCCTCACTGGCCAGGGTAATGGAGCTGGATTATTGCACATACCTGTGATTAAACCTTTCAGAGGTCCTTAAGGTGGGTTTGATTATAGTAGAGACTAGAGGCCCGATGCACGAAATTCGTGCAAGAGTAGGCCTTCCTGGCTGGGGAGGGTTGGAGATCAACTGAAGGACTTGCATGCATGCATATAAGCTTAACTAATGGACGCAAGACACTGGGAGGGGGTGAGGGCATGTGCCGGGGGTAGAGGAGGCTGGGGGAAGGTCATTTGGGGGAAAAAAAGGAGACATATGTACTACTATTTGTGATATTTTAAATAATAATAAAAAAAAGTAAAAAAAAAAAGAGTAGGCCTTCCTTCCCCCGACTGCCAGCACCAGCTTCCCTCTGGCACCCGAGACCTGGGCTTCCCTCGAAGCCCGGGCTTCATCTGGAAGGTCGTCCAGAAGGACATCTGGCCTAATTAGCATATTATGCTTTTATTATTATAGATAAGGAACTGTAGGCTCAGGTAATTTAATTGACTTGGCACAAAATTATACAGGAAATGACTGAATAAGGAACTTAAATGCATACCTTCTGACTCCAAATCTCATGCCATGTCCTCTACACATGACATCATATATCTCTCCCCCAGGAAATGAGACTCAGTGCTAACCTGAGTTCAGAGTCTGTATTCCAGTGTCTCTATCACATTTTCTCTTTTGATTGTTTTTACTCAGTTCCCAAACCCTGGATGAACAGAGTCAGGGGGTCAGGCAGTTTGTCTTTGGGCCTCTGATGCTCTAATCCTACACTTGCCCTGGACTTGCTGGGGGATAGTGGACAGGCCATGAGCCCTTTCACTGGCACTTAGCTTTTCCATCAGCGGGGTGGGGAATGGCCCTAATCCCACTCCAAGAAATTGTGTCAGTGACTGGTCCACATGCTTGTAAAGGACCCTGTAGGTCCCACAGGGAACAAACTTGCACAATGACAGGTTCTCCAGTTGTGCCATCTGGTCCATCTGCGTAATGACATTCTGACTCCATCCTCTCCAATTATCCAGCCCTCTGCCTGGCCCCCTTCTCCTTCAATTTGGCTATTCCCAGCTGTTTTATGATTGGGAGTTAAGAGTCTAGAGAAGCTCACCAGGACTCTGGGTTTGCTGAGTAGAAAAGCATAAGGAACCTGAAAAATAAAATCAAGGAAATAGAAACTTGTGACTGTAACGAGAGAGATCTCCCACCCCTCCAGCCCCATAGGTGCCTCTCCAGAATATGTGGTGGGAGGAGACCAGAAAGGTAAGGGCAGGCAGGACCTGAGGACCTAACTTCCCAGGAGGACAACTTCTCAGGAAATTAGCAGGTGTGGGGTTACGCCCCAGGTGTTGTCCTAGTGGACTAGCTGAACCAGTATTTGCATCCTCCCTCTCTTTCCCTGTCTTCCAAAAGAAAGGTAAAGGAAACCCCAGACTCAAAGTCTCTGAAACCTTGGAGAAGAGACAAGTAAGAAGAAAGAAAACCTGCTACTTTTTTCTTCTTCCAAACAATTAAGGACACAACGATACAGATCAAAGAAGGCACTAGTATGCTCCATAGGATAACCGAGAGTTGACTTTTTTTGTTAAAAACACCTGAAAAGAAAAAAAAGAAAAGAAGTTTCACTTAGGACACTTGAGTAAGGCCCTGTGTTCTTCTCAGAGCTTACACTTAACCTCTTCTAGGCCACTTTCGGGGGGCAGGGTGGGTTCATCTCTACCCAGAAGCTCTGGGGCTCTGGGCAGGATTTCTGGGAGTAGGAGACAGGGCAGGGCAGAGCCTGGTAGAGCCAGGAGAAGGAAACAATTTTGCCTTCCTAAGGACTTTGCTCTTGGGCTCTGAGTGTGTTGCAGGAGGGCAGAGAGACCTGAGACAGACTGTTACCTTTGCAGAGACTTTGGACAGAGAAAGAGAAGGATACATTGCTGACAGGATTCTTAGCGATGCAAGTGTATGTCTCTTCACTGGAATCCTTGGGCTCCCAAGAGATAGTGAGGTTTGCTTCCTCCAGGATTGTGTTTCCTGCGACCTGCCACCTGAACGAGGCATGGTCATTTGGATTCTCCACAGAGCAGGTCAGTTGGATCTCACAGCTCCCATTTTCAAAGAGTTGAGTGTGATTAGCCACTTGTAAGTTCCTCAGTCGTCCTGTGTGCAGAGAAAAGACCCAGATTAAGGACAAATGGTTTGGCTCAGCCCTCTGTTTAAAATGTCCTTCCCCTCAATGTTTCTGTATTCTACCCGACACTGCTGTATGTTACGATCTGTATACTCTGTAAATAACGCTGTTTGTGTTGCCTAATTGATAGGATCAAGGTCTGGGGTGACCAAATGATGAGGGACATTGGTATGAGACAGAAAAGCCAGTGTGAGAAACGAAAAGGGAAAGACTGAGTTTGCCACCAACTAGCTGGGTGATTTGAGGCTGATCACCTTACTTCTCTGCACTTCAGTTTATTCCTGGGGTCCTTTATAGCCTTTCTTTTTTGCCCCTTGTGTGAAAACAACTTGGAGAGTAAGCTGAGGGCCAGCCTACCTTAGCCAGGTTAGAAAACAGAGTCAGGCACAAGAGCCCTGTTTCATCCATAATCAGAAATCCCTAGCTGGGGTGGAAGATGGAAGCTGATCTCCCTCGGGGAACTACACTTCCCACAAGTCTACAGGAGTTCTGGTCCTCATTGCATATGATCCTGGCTCCAGTGGGGACAGAGAGACCCTGACGCAGAATGTCAGCAGGGCAGAAAAGGACACGTTGAGTACCAAAACATTAGGGAAGAAAGAAGCGAAGAAACTGAGAGAGCAAGCAAGTTCTGGGCAGCAAAGAAGTGCAATATATTCAAGCATTTGAGAAAGCCTTTACTGCAGAAATTTATGATAGCAGAGACCAGAAAAGATTGACTAGTGAGATATCAGTATCTATGGATCAATGGGGACATGGGAACAGTACAGAAAAGGTCACTGACCTAGACTTGGCCTAAGATGACCCAGTAAAGAACAGAATGACTCCAACTGTCTGATTAGAAGAGACTGAGTAATGTTTTAAGCTTAGTTAACCGAGTAGGACTAGTGGAATCTATCTTGCCAGAATGGAGCTGTTATGTAGCAGCAAGAATGTTGGATTTGGAGTTAAGACTTGGGTTAGAATCATTACTTAGTTATTTAATGGCTACTTGATCATGACTACATTGGTAATTGTTTCAAGCATCTGTAAAACTGGGCAATAATACCTACTGCTTAGGTCATTATGAGGGTTAAATAAGACAGAGCCTAGCACAGCAATGGCAAATACTTGGCATGAATGTCACATCTCCCTCAGCCTTTGTTCATGGCTGACCAAAAAGCTATATTATTACCTTTTTCCACTTGACAAATTTGTAACCCCATCTACTTGACATTTCCACTTGGACATAATGTGTATTTCCAATTCAACATGTTCAAAAGAACCTCCATTTTTCTCTCTAAAACCTGTTCCATCCGCAGCCTTCTCCATCTTAGTCAATAACAACTTTATCCAATAGCCAAGAATACCCAGAATCCAAGTACTTCTCACTACTTCCCCTGCTATCTTCCTGGTCCAAGCCAGCATCATCTCTTGCTTGGATTGTCACAATGGCCTCCTTATTGGTCCAGTGGCTTCCACCTTTGTTCCTTACAACCTATTTGCAACAGAGCAGCCAGGAGATCTTTTAAGCAAGTAAGTCAAATCATATTACTTCTTTGTAAAACCCTCCTGGTTCTCAACCTGACTGAGATTTAGATTTGAAAGTCCATATGTTGGCTCTCAGAGCCTTACATGATGTGGCCCTCAGTTTTCTTACTGAACCTTGTTTCCTATTACTCTCTCTGCACTTTGCTTCTTGATGTTCCTTGACTATGCAAGGCACGAGAGAGTACATGTTGGTATGTTCTTCATCCAGATATTTTCATGGCTTACTCCCTCACCTCCAACAGGTCTTGGCTCAAATGTCATCTTCCCAGTGAGGCTTAGTGTGACCCTCTAATTAAAATTACGCCCTACTCTCTGTTGGCACTCCTATGCTCTTATGCTATTCTAATCTCTTTTTTTCTCCACAGCATGGCTTTCTTACATACTGTGTCATTTGTTTATACATTACATGTATTCTTTAGCACCTCCTCTTACTCTCCACCCAGAATATCAGCTCCATGAAGGCAGGGATCTTTGTCTGTTTTTAAATAAGACAGAGCCTAGCACAGCAATGGCAAATACTTGGCATGAATGTCACATCTCCCTCAGCCTTTGTTCATGGCTGACCAAAAAGCTATATTATTACCTTTTTCCACTTGACAAATTTGTAACCCCATCTACTTGACATTTCCACTTGGACATAATGTGTATTTCCAATTCAACATGTTCAAAAGAACCTCCATTTTTCTCTCTAAAACCTGTTCCATCTGCAGCCTTCTCCATCTTAGTCAATAACAACTTTATCCAATAGCCAAGAATACCCAGAATCCAAGTACTTCTCACTACTTCCCCTGCTATCTTCCTGGTCCAAGCCAGCATCATCTCTTGCTTGGATTGTCGCAATGGCCTCCTTATTGGTCCAGTGGCTTCCACCTTTGTTCCTCTCAATCTATTTGCAACAGAGCAGCCAGGAGATCTTTTAAGCAAGTAAGTCAAATCATATTACTTCTTTGTAAAACCCTCCTGGTTCTCAACCTGACTGAGATTTAGATTTGAAAGTCCATATGTTGGCTCTCAGAGCCTTACATGATGTGGCCCTCAATTTTCTTACTGAACCTTGTTTCCTATTACTCTCTCTGCACTTTGCTTCTTGATGTTCCTTGACTATGCAAGGCACGAGAGAGTACATGTTGGTGTGTTCTTTATCCAGATATCTTCATGGCTTACTCCCTCACCTCCAACAGGTCTTGGCTCAAATGTCATCTTCCCAATGAGGCTTAGTATGACCCTCTACTTAAAATTACGCCCTACTCCCTGTTGGCACTCCTGATGCTCTTATGCTATTCTAATCTCTTTTTTTTCTCCACAGCATGGCTTTCTTACATACCGTGTCATTTGTTTATACATTACATGTATTCTTTAGTACCTCCTCTTACTCTCCACCCAGAATATCAGCTCCATGAAGGCAGGGATCTTTGTCTGTTTTACTCATTGATACATTTCAAGTGCCTAAAACAGTTTCTTGTACATTGTCCATAGTCAACAAATTTTGTTAACTCAATGAATAAACTTAACATGGCCTGAACGTCTTTTTTAACAGTGAACTCGAGCCCAGTTGGTGTAGCTCAGCAGTTGAGCATCGACCCAGGAACCAATAGGTCACTGGTTTGATTCCTGGTCTTGGCACATGCCCAGGTTGTGGGCTTGATCCCCTGTGAGGGGCATGCAGGAGGCAGCTGATCGATGATATTTCTTTTTCATTGCTGTTTCTATCTCTCTATCCCCCTCCCTTCCTCTCTCTCTCTAAAAAAAAAGCAACAAAAAAACCATATTTAAACAAACAAAAACAATGAATTCTAGGAAGTTATTCCCAATTAGTTGATCATGGCCTGTAAGATAAAATCTTTTCTATCCCTAGCCTGGTATATGAAGTAATTGGTTAATGTTTTATTTTATTTAAAAAAATATTTTTATTGATTTCAGAGAGGAAGGGAGAGGGAGAGAGAGATAGAAACATCAATGATGAGAGAGAATCAT